TATATATATGTATGTATATACTGTAGTGAAAGAAATAAGAATAAACTGTAGTCATTAGAACATCTGATCTAATGGCTAAAAAAAAGTCAAAATTATACCTTCACTAAGGGTATTTTAGACATTACCATTACACATCATCATCCACATCAGCATGCCACAACATTATCCATACAGCTACCACACACAAAACACACACATACACATACACACCTAACACGCGCGCGCACACACACACACACACATCACATAACACACAGAAAGAGTCAAACACACGCATACACACTCATTACTCTCTCTCTCTTTCTCTCTCTCTCTCTCTCTCCCTCTCTCTCTCATGTCTTCTATCTCTCACACACAATTGACACACACTTACACATTTAATTACACACACAGATACATTCATTGGCCGCACCTTTACTGTTCACCAGCCCAGCCGTTGACCGCCTCCCGTTACCGTTGCCCACCGGCCACGACCGCTCTCATGGCAGCGCCTCCACATTGCCCCGAATCTTGTCGGCATGCCTCCCGTCGCCCATCTCTCACCAACATTGTCACCCCGAATCTCGCTGCCGCCACACGTCCACAAGTACATCCGTTGCCGGAGGCAGTGGAGCTCCAGATCACCGCCATTCAAGTCGTTGCCTCCGAAATCATCCTACACCGCCAAGCTCGGTCACACACCAACAATCGTTTGTCGTCTTCTTCGTCATTCTTACACCACCTAGTTGAGCCAGATGTAGTGGCGCTGGAAAATTTGACCTTCGAGCTCAAAGGACGAGCTTTTTTTTTTTTAACGGAACAATCAGAAGTACTTATATTCACAACAAGTCGAGACAAGAAACCAGCTATTCAGTTGAATATACGACCAGACGACAGTCTAGAGTCAACCTACAACACACAACACACCTAAAAAAAAAAACTACCAAAAGGAGAATTAAAACCAAAAGCTCCTAACAGGAGAATACACGAGAGATACTCCCAACGGGAGAGAAAAAATAAAATACTACCAAAGAAAACACAAACTACCAAACAAGACACAAACTGAAACAACCCTTCCACAACCGGCATAAACACCAAGATTCTCATCGGCGACAACCAAGCCAACCACCCCACCGGGCCAAACCATGCTCCAAGAAGCTACTCCAGAAACTGCCAAATGCCTAACTGAAACCTGCATCCAGCAGACACGACCCCGAACCCAAGCAGTCAACCATAGCCCTCAGCCAGAGGATCGCCGACCTAATCCCCCAACACCCCACCACCGTCCTAACCCTAGACTGCACCACATCCCAAAATCGGAGACGCCGACCAGCCCCATAACCTAGCACCAAGGGAAAAGAGGCCCAGGGGAAACAAACCAGACGATCTGCCACTCCGGCCACCCGACCAAACCATCAGGTAGTCCAAGCTGCAGCCTCCCCCCGACAAGCACAACAATGCCAATACCACTCGCGCTCTGGCAAAGTTCACCGCCCGCCTGCACGGTGGATATTAGAGATTGCGATGGCGCCTCGGAGAGAATCGTCTTGCCTCGAGGGGAGGCGTTGGGCTGGCCGGAGGTGAAGTAATTGGAGTATAAAAAGTAGGGCCATGTAGAGAGGGCGGCGCCGACGACAGGGTCAGTAGTGCCGGCTTCATATAGTAATAATGGAAGATTCATGAAAGGCATATTCGATGACTCCGGCGGTGGCGATTATGCTCATGCACTAGCGGAGGTCGTGGGTGGCACTAGGTGTGCCGCCGTAGAGAATTTTGGTGGCTATGCCAGGTCGTGTGTGTGTGTGTGTGTGTGTGTGTGTCACAGGGAAAATTTGTGGACCGCATATATGGCGGCTCCGGCGGTGGCCAGAAGCTTGGCGTGCCGGCAGAGCAGTGGGTCACGCGTCGGGAACGGTGGTAGGTTATTCGCTGACGAGAAGGGCGGCGTCTACGACAGGTGCCAGGATGGTGTGCATCAGTGTATGTATGTGCGTGTGTAAGCGTGATGTGTGTGTTGTGTGTGTGTTGTGTGTGTGTGTGTGTGCGCGTGTGTTTTGTGTGTGTGCGCGCGCGTGTGTGTTTTGTGTGTGTATGTTATGAGGGCACCCGCAACGCTTAAATTATTTAGGCGTTTAAACGCCAGCATGACGTTCAATCTGGTTGTAGGCATCCATTAGGGCCCACTATGGCGTTCATGAACGTTTTTATTTTTTATTTTTGTTTTAAATCAATCATATTATTATTCTTTTATGTATTATTTCATTTTCTATCTATAAAACACAATGCATCCTCAACTTCGTGCCGACTTAGTTGAGCATATTTAGACTTATTTTGTCACCAACTAAAAGAGTTATTTTTTTAATTGTACTATTTATTCTTGTGTAATCTTAATTTAAGTTATTTTGGTCTTGTAGTGTTTTTTAATTTTCATGCATTTAAAATTAATATTATAAATTAAAAATATTAAGTTTTTATTTTTATTGGGAATAGAATATTAAAAGTTACATTGAATGAGTGGATAATGAGTCTCATATATGTATTTAAATGAATCGATGGAAATGTGGGTGTGCGTTTAAATGGAGGGAGATTTAGTGGAAAAATGATGTGGATGAGATAGAGTGTTTTTGATTGAATGAATGAAAATTGTCTATTCGAGCATCTGCAATGCTTTGGGTCTAATTTTGATTATGTGGCAAGTAAATGGACTTAAGTCTTGAGTGACATGGATAAAAATATATAAAAGTAACAAAATTGACTTCAATGCAAAGAGACTAGGTCTCTGCTTGGGTCTAAATTAGACTTAAGGGTAGACTGAGTCACTTTTTTCTGCTGCCACATCAGCAAGACTCAAGCCACTTTTATTTATATTGGAGCATATAATTTTCTGAACTGAGTCTATTTCCTACATGGCCAGTATATTTCTTTGAAATGGACCCAAAACATTAGTGATGCTTGTGGTTGTGGATGCATTAAGGAAGGTGGTGACGTGGCGTGGTGATGTGGTTTGGGTTAGTTTGATGTGTAATGTTAATGTCCATATTACCCCTAATGAAGGTATAATTTTAGTTTTCTAGCCATTATATCATACGATCTAATGACTACGATTTATTCTTATTTATTTCACTGAACATCATTCTCACCAGAGCGTGACCATATATATATATATAAATTAAATTTTATTCAAATTAATTATCTGATGGAGCACGACCAGAATGGTTGAACCGATTACGGGGACGGCTATCCCAAGTCAATTACCGACCATGATTTGAATTCATTGCAATAAACAGTACATATATGCAGTGGCGAAACTAGCCGGTCATCCCGGGGAGGACCCAATTTGCAGCGACACACCACCCCCACTCCGGCCATCCCGCGGCGCACCACCCCCACTCCGGCATCGGAAGGGCGCTCAAAGGGCTTTTGTGGACGCTCTCAAAAATTTTCGTAGGATATAAAATAATACTCTAGAGATTTTTTAAAAAATCAAACTAAGTTCGGAATTAAACTGATATACTTAAACTAAATTGTTTTAACTCGAAAAATACTCGAATTTATACTAATAAAAATCTCAGACTCAATTATAATAATAATTAAGAATTATACCTCTTTTCGAATAGACGAAAAGCTAAAAAATTTGAGAAAACGAAGCCTCGAACGATCGAACTCGTCCTCGACAAATTTGCTCCTTTTGATACTATTTAACGCAGAAACTCAAACTTCCATAATAAATGCTCGGAACTCCGAAAAAATGCAAAATTTATCCGTATGGAATCGTGCTTGAATTGTCTACACACTCCAACTCGATTCTCGTTAAACCGAGGTCACACGCAACCTTACGGAATCCCGCAAAACGGCTTTTTATTCTTCTATTATGCGCACTCGACTTCGAGCTTCTCAAAATAAATGCTCGAAACTTCGAAACGTGAAATAAATTTTACGAACGACTTCTACTGTTCTCGTGCTTTCAAGAAAGCACTCCCGCTAATTTTCAGCACATCTAACGAGGGCCGGCGGTTACCCGAAGTCTATACATGAAAATGACAATAAAATCACCGCCACTGCCATTTTTCTCTCAACTTCGGGCTACCCAAAATAAATGGTCGGGACCTCAAAATCATAAATCGATGCCACCAACGCACTCTCTGCTTCCCGTACTTTCATAAAAGTACTTTTCGGTAATAATCGACTCAGTTTTTGAGTCCCGTCGGTACACCGCAAGTCGGCTAATTAACCAACTCAAAATATAATAAAAATAAAAAAATATTAAATTCTGCTGCTCTTATAGTTCTCCTTGTCCCGAAACCAGGATCCCATTTCGGGGAGAGCCCAATTTGCCTTTAAAAGAAAATTTTCACGACAAAACCGTTGGCGCCCCTCCGGCCATGTATGTACCGCATGAAACCGGGGAGAACCCAACATGCGCGCTCAAAGAAAAATCTTCCAGTTCCAGCAAAATCCTCCACCCCTAGTTTAATTTTTTTTTTTTTAGGGGCCGGCGCCTCTCCGACCCCCCACATGGTTTCGCCCCTATATATATATATATATATATATATATATAAATGAATCATATTGCGTCCTTAATAATCATTTTCAATATAACCAAGTAGTGAAGAGAGGGAAAATTAATTATATTACCGCTACATTTAACTTGACTAGTAATGTGCACGTGCATCGCACGTAGTGATAAATGTTTTTTGCCGATTGAATTCAGTAAATAAATTAATTATGTGCCAAATAACATATAAATGAATCATATTGCGTCCTTAATAATCATTTTCAATATAACCAAGTAGTGAGGGAGGGAGAAATAATTATATTACTGCTACATTTAACTTGACTAGTAAAGTACACGTGTCTCGCACGTGGTGATAAATGTTTTTGCTGATTGAATTCAGTAAAATAAATTAATTATGTGTCTAATAACATATTTAATATTTTTATTGTCCAATTTTTTTGCATCATACATAATGCTTCAAAAATTCAAGATAAATATCCTTTCTTGGACCCAAAA